GAGCCTCTTTTTATATATATATATATATATATATATATATATATACACACATACATAAATATTGATTTATTATCAACACCTGAATGTGGGCAAGTTTCATTAAAAAATGCAACATTTTGAACAAAAAGTTGAGGAAATCATGTTTTTGTCAAAGACTATGTCCAGACTGAATACAGAACGATGATCAAAACATGGAGTAGATCGCTTTCATCAACACCCCTAAAGCTTGCATGGTCCTACAGCACTTTCTGGGGCGACATTTCATTCAGTAACGTTAGGCAGTTTTGATTTATATGCTGTTTAACGTTTGATGATTGTGTTATTTTACACATGCATCTGCTTGCATATGCGATCGCTTGTTTCTGCTGCTTCTTCGCCGTGTTTGATCCAGAGATTCAGTGCTCTTTCAGAAGATGTGTAATATCGCCTCCTACAGTATGACAGTGAAAACACGAAAAGACAGAAAATTCTGTCAATGGCGGGGAAAGAGTTAATAACCATTGAGAACACCTTAGCAACTGCATAGCATACAACCACCCAGAACACCCTAGCAAACACATAGCAATACATAAACAACCACACAGTACACCTTAGCAACCACATAGCAAAACCCTGGCAACCACCCAGAACACCCTAACCCTTTTTCAACTTTTGCATGAGTACGAATATTGAATGGGCAGTGTACTTGATATTATTGGTTGAATAACAGTCCTAGTTTTCCTTAATGCCCTGGGAAGCTTTTTGTGTATATATTTTGTTTTATCACTGTGATATTTGTAGGATAATGCTGAGGTATTGCTTCCTTCTGCTACAGGTATTGAGGAGACTAAGCTCTGTTTGTGTGTTTACTGTGTGTTCATGATAAATAGGAGCAGTGCTCATGCTGAATGAAAGCTTAGACCACAATGGTCTCATGTGTCTGCATGTGTGGAATAGCATGAGTCTGTGTGTGTGTTTCAGGTTTTAGCACAGATTGAGGATAAGCAGCGGAGGTTACCTGAGGTTCGCGCATGTCAAGGAGGCACTTCAAATACCAGCACTCTGCAGAGACTTATGCAGACTTTTGAACATGATATTCAGCTACTTGTTACACAGGTGAACTGATGCAACACATCCTTATGCAAGGAGTGCAAAATAAATCTGTAAAGTTTGTAGATGCATCTCTAAAATACTTGATGAAATAAAGTGCATGACAATGGCAACATTTGTATAAAGAAGTTTTCCTGTTTTCCTCAGATAAGACAGTTGCAGGAAAGTGCAGCCCAGCTCCGAACAGTTTATGCCGGGGAGAAAGCAGAAGCCATTGCCATGCAGGAACATGAAGTGATGCAGGCGTGGAAAGAGCTGCTCGTATCCTGTGAGGACTGCCGAATGCAAATCACCACAGCAACAGACAAGTTACGCTTCTTTGGGATGGTGCGTGATCAGCTGATGTGGATAGACAGCATCATCTGTCAGATAGGAACCGGGGAGAAACCAAGGTAGGACACATGCTGGGACACTTGCTCTCTGCTTAGGAGCTCATTAATGTGCTTTAACATTGTAATGCATGAAGGTTTGCATCATGTCAGCTGAAGAGCAGCCACTGTGGCCGCTGGAGTGTGCTATAGGTATCATACCGTGAGCACAAATAAGTGATATGATGGTAAGTGCATGAACCACAATAGTATTTATACATCATATTACGATTAAGCATAATAGTATCCATTAAGAGCACTCTATGGGAACACTATAGATCTGTTGCAAAACATATTGAGCTGCTATGCTGTCTACTACTTACACAGAAAACTACATTCTTAGGGTACAACCTAACCTAAGAGAATTTGAAATAGGGCTGAAACAAACGATTATTTTGATAATAGATTCATCTAACAAATCATTAATCAACTAATCATTGATTAATCAGTAGGCTTTGATTATTCAGCTTTTGCAATTAGTTAAAATATTGAGCTATACATATTCTAACTAATAAAACATGGTAATCACTTCAGCTTTTGAAAATATCAAACAATTATATTACTAGTATACAATTACAATTATTATACAGTTATTTTTTTTACAATACAAAATAAATATATTTGGGACACCAAATGAGATTACAAACAGAGAGATATTCTCATTCATCATTTAATTAACTATGAAAAGGTAGCTGACCGATGTATCAATCTGCCTAACATATCCTTTTTTAAGTCATCTGGATATGGAACAAAATAAAGGTAAATGATGAGAGGTGTTATTTTTGGATAAACCATTTTATTCACATTATCTCTCTTAAAATACCTTATAGTGTTGCGATAATAAAAATGGTCCTGAGCTAAATCTTGAGCTTAATTTAAATCAAGTTGTAATTCTAACTGAAAGCGACACTGACACTGTTTTTCATGTTTAACATTGTAAAGCTGCTTGCTTTAAAGCAATCTATTGTATAAAAAGCTATAATAAACGTGACATGACTGGACTTTACTGACAAATTCAGAGCCAGTGCAGACATATCCACATCGCTATGATCAGATGCTTTCTTAACTGCTGTTTTCTCACCACTGTCATTTTTGTTGTGTGTTTATCTTATTATTGAGAGGAAAGCGTGCAGCATATATTAAAATATTCATCTAAACACCACTCTCAGCAGCGCGGGCACCATCAGGATGTTTGCTAACATCAAAACGCTGCTTGCATATATTGAACTTCTTTTTACCACTAAATGAAAAACGAAAAAAATAAAAAAAACTTTGACATGAGTATATCCGAGACTTCACTTATGACAGCATTTTTTGTTTGTAGTTTTGCAAAACCTTCCCACACTCTACTGGTTGGGCTGCGTTTGCACTCTGACATGCTTTCATAAAGAGAAGGGTCTGTCTGCATCCCGCAGTACTACAAACCACGCCCCTCCAAGTTACGTCTACTACTACAAGTTAAGCCTCCTCCAGAGAAACAAGAGTGGATGTTATTGACTAAAACAATCTTTTCAAGTAAATTATCTTAGGTTTTATGTATGAAGTGTTTGTAAGCCTACTTGTATTGCTTTCCAGTTACGAAATTTACGAAGTGCGAAATAACAGCTATTAGTAAAACATAAAATAAATCATATAATCAAATTGATACAGACCTATGATAATTATAGCTAAAAACCTATCCCCAACCCTAAACCTTTCCCTAACCCTACTCCTTACACAAAATTAAAATTTACTGGAAAACAACATGGGATGACTTTAGCTTTCTGGTGATCTATGTAATACAATCTGTATGCCTCATCACTGGGTGGTGATAGTGAACCTTTAAAAGTGAGGAAAGTGAAGTAGAAGAAGAGCGGAAGTGGCGACATCAGCGATTGCCTAATTTCATTTTAGGAGGTGTAACATTTAGTATTAGGTTTAATTTGTAGGGGTGTGGTGTGTACTACTGCGGGACACAGTCAGATCATAGACTGTATAAAAACATGGACGTAGTGTCCGTGACGTCACCCGTAGGTTTCTGAAGAGCATTTTTGTACCAGGCTGTACAACATATTTTTTCTGCTGTAAAGTTGGGCATTTTAACATGGGGTGGGGGTGTCTATGGGATTGACTCCCGTTTGGAGCCAATCTCTAGCGGCCAGTCGATGAATTGCAGTTTAAGTCACTTCCGTGTTAGTTTCAAGAGAGAGACCAGAAGGTTGCCGCTTGGGTCAGATACACTTGCTCGCAAGCGCCATGTTTCTTCTTCTATTGGACTGCGTGTGGGAGGGCTGAATTACAGTCTTGCGCTACAGCACCACGCTGGTCAATCCGCTTTATTGCAGACCCCTTACATGAGGTCATATGAGATCAAATGTCTATTTGACAACAAAAATATTTGTTGATCATTTTTTATTGCCGTCGTTGTCGATAATGTCGACTAATTGTTTGAGCTTTAATTTCAAATGCTAATTTCAAATGCTTTTCAAGTGGCACTTTTTATGTGAAATGAACAGAGGACTTCACTTAGAAATTGATTCCAATAGCGTCTGACATTGCATGTTGCTAAACTAACAAAAGGAATCTCTAATAAACAAAAAAATACACAGTATTCACAATAATTAAATTTAAAAAAAATTTAATTTCAATACTTTTCTGTATTTAATTAATTATATTCAACATTTTTTTCTTGAAAAATCCACCATTTTCCACTACTGAGTTTGTTGTAATGTTTTCTGGAATGGCCTTCTCTGCATTGTTGCCTTAAGGTTTTTTGCCAAAAGACATTTGCTGGAACAGATTTTGCATTGGGAGCGCACCTATGTTGGCAGCTCACTAGGTTTTGAAACAGAGCTATAGTGTATATATGTCTAGTATATTTTGAAAGTCTTAATAAAGACCCTATAATACTGCAAAAACTCAGGAGCTATTATGGACACTCTTCATGGTGCCAAAATAGCCTTCTGTTGCTGTTTCTTTCTGTGGGCAGACTTGGCTCATGCATTCTTGCCCAAGTAACTCTCTCTCCTCTCACTGTCAGCTCTTTCCTCAGAGCTCTAATGGGATATGGGCTCTCTGGTGCTTGCAGGGACGTGTCATCTGTGGAGGTCCTGATGAACTATCACCAGAGCCTCAAGAGTGAGGTGGAAGCCCGAAACAAGAGCGTCCTACAGTGTATCGAGATGGGCAAGACTCTACTGGCTGCCCGTAACCCTGCATCAGAAGAGGTGACACAAAATATAAAGTACAACCTGTTCAGAAACTGTTGCAGATCTGAAATCACTACAAGGCCCAAAACATACTCTATGCATGTTTAATTTCAGGCATTGTTGCAATCCAAAATGTGTCAGACTGCAATTACATATTGCATTCTCAACATTGCTACAAGTAACACTATAGTGTGTACTAACATAAACTCTTCTTCTACAGTTAATTTCCTGATTTAAAAAGTTACTAAGTTTAGGTAGCTACCTAAATAATAATACATCTGAAAGAGTTTTTTCCCATTTGAATACTGTGGCTTGTTACTGCCACAGCAATTCAAGAAAGCACATTAAGTATGTACGATGTAACTGCCTGCTTCCAATGCAATGGCCATCCTTTTGTGTCTGCAATGGTGCACTTTTGTAAAGTATGTTTCCAGCCTAAATGATGGTGACTACATGATATTCCAAGCTGTCTTCTGTCTGTACCTGACGATAGAGTATTGACCGTTTCAGATCAAAGAAAAGCTGGAGAAGGTTTTGGCCAAGCAGCAAGAGCTCACTGAGAAATGGGACAAACACTGGGAAGAGTTGCAGCACAGTGGGTGAAATGAGGCTAATGGAAAACAAACATTATGCATAAATTATGTAATCAGTGTCATGCACTTCACAACATCTCACTCTCTTTCTGTGCCTTCGCAGTGTTGGAGGTGCATCAGTTTGCTCAGGAAGCAGTGGTAGCAGAGGCCTGGCTCACTGCTCAGGAACCCTTCCTAAGTAGTAATGAACTGGGTGGCAGTGTGGATGAGGTTGAGCAGCTGATTCGCAGACACGAAGCCTTTCGCAAAGCTGCGGCCACATGGGAAGAACGCTTCAGCTCTTTACGCCGTCTTACCACAGTAAGAGAGACCAGCCAACCAAACCCAAGGGTCAGGGGTATCCAGTCCTGTTCCTGAAGGGCCAATGTCTTGCAGAGTTTAGCTCCAACCTGGACAAACACACTTAAAAGTTTTGAGTAATTATGAAGACTTTGATTAGCTGGTTAAGGGTTTTTTTAAGGAAAAAAATAGGTTTGGAGGATCCATTAGGATTGGATCCTAATGGATGTCACACTGATGTCACTGTCATAAAATTCTACTTTTCATTAATTTTACCATAGTTTGAATGTGTCAATAGTCTACCTACTGAAATTCAAAAAAATGTTACTAAAAGGTGAATTGTGTATAGCATAATGTATTTTTATAGTTATGTTACAGAATGGAAGTGTGGGTGTATAAATAATAAGAGATTCTCTTGTTTAACGATTTAGGTAGAGAAGATAAAGGCAGAGCAGAGTAAGCTTCCCCCAACTCCCTTGCTGGGACGGAAGGTTTTCTTGGACCCTCAGGACTCTTCTCCTGCTCGCAGTAGCCCTTCCTCCATCATTAGACAGACCATATATGAGCAGGGCGAGTCCCGTGTGGAGCGCATCACCCCTCAGCCCTCTCCCTCTTCCGTGGCCCGAAGACTGGGTTCTACTGTGGCCAACTACTCTCCCATCATGAATGGAGCTGCTACTTATCGCCTTCAGGAAGCCAGGAATGCTGGGATTGTTGGAGTGGCTGCAGGACTGGGCACTTCTATGGATCATAAGGTCACCCAATTGCGAGCGGAATTCAAGGCCCAAGTCCCACAGCAGAAGATCGAACACATCCATGAGGCAGTCCACCCCCTACTGGAGAGAGACAGGGAGCGGGAGCGGTATCATGAGAACGTGATGGCAGAGGTGGTGCTCCAGGAGCCAGGCGGAGGAAGGGAACGCCTAAACAGCATGGTGGGAGGGAGCGGGAGCAGTCGCTCAGAGCTGTTGGTGGAGCAGCATCCCCCTCCAAGGGAGTCGCGGTTGGAAAGACAACTATCCACCGAGCAGCTGATTCAGGCACGCAGGGACGAGCTGCCTCAGGAGGTGTGGAGAGAACGAGCTGGGAGGGCAGAGAGGAGTCTGGAGAGACAGACATCTAGTGAACAGGAAGGTCATGAGGTGCGGCGGAGGGACAGACACCGACTGGAGAGACAGGACAGCAGCGAGCAGGAGGCCAGGGAGCAGTCGGACAGACGCTCTGGTGGCGGGTGAGTGTCTGTATTTGTGACCTCAAACGATCCACATTACAAAAGACATTACAAAAGTTACAGCAGTGCTAATGCTAGATTTGAAAGAGAAGTGTTATAATTGAGATTCTCTTAAAGGTGAACTTCACCTTTAAGCTTCCACATGCTGGTCACCAAGTCAGTTCATAGCAAGTAGAGGTTCAAATAAATACGGACAGATTTCAAGGATAACTTCTCGACTGCAATTCGTATTCACTTTTCATGATCCACTCGATTCCTGATGTATAAATTCTTCTTGTAATTTGTCATGTTGAACTGTTTAATCTGTCACGTGAAGGAAGTAAAAGGATTGTAAATGCTTTCCCATATTGACTTTAAAGCTTTGAAGTACCCCAGCAACTTCTTTCTTTTCTGTCCATTCAAAATAGCATTTCCAGATCTCAGATTTCCCTTTTATGTTGGCAGGGACAAAAGGTCGACGCTAGCTGAGATTGTGGAGCAGCTTCAGGAAAGAGAAGCAGCACAGGTGTGTGGACAATCTAATGTTTGTCTCTTGTTTTAAACCACATTTTATCACGTGTACATTGCTGGATATTTCCAACTCAGGCCCGAGGAGAGCTTCCACGTCTACCCAATGGTTTTCCTGAGAAGACTTCTAGACTGGACCGGCCACGTGCTCGCGACAGACCCAAACCGAGAAGAAGACCCCGACCCAAGGAGCCAGCTGGCGAAACACGGCGCTCAAGGTCTGTGCCAGCCCAGAGCAGTCCACCAGTACCCCAGCCGCCTACCCACCTGGCCCAGCGTGAAGGGTTCCTCTTCCGCAAAATAGACATTGAGGGCCAAAAGAAGAGTTCGAACAGGTGGGACTTTGTGGTCTAAAAATTAGGGGCACATGGCATGGAATTAGCATGAAAACGGCTAAACCAAATATGCCAATCAGTATGATTGGTCATTCAAAGCTATGCTAATGTTGTTGTTAGCATTAGGTACTGATGCTTAGAGCACTAACATTTGTTATTACAAAGCAGCTCTTATTTTCTTTCACCAAGTTTCAAGTCAAACTGGGATATGCTTGAATGCTTTACAAGCCTAAAATGTTTCCTGAAGTTAAACTGAGGAGCAGCTGTTTGGCTGTCATTTGTGATTACAAGTTTCATATCAAGCAATGGCAGAAAATAGCTAGCTGTTAGCACTGCTTGCCACATGCATGGTAATACTAAAATCAGCCTGGATGGTGGCTGTGACTGTGTCAGAAGACCAACAGATGCTGAGTCTCTGAAGCCATGGCTAGCAAGGTATGAAGCCTTCACCCTTCACAGCTTTATATAGCAATTTCGTACAAGACCGGATACGGCACCTTTGCGGCCCAAGTCACAAAACAATTCATCGCATCGAGGAGTTTAAGGAACTCAAAAGAATGGCTGTCTGTTCTTTTGGAGCATGTATTTGTGCATAATCTGCTTGTCCACTGAAGCCATTTTCATACTAGCATTTGTGTTTATATTGCAGTATATCTCATTAACCAAAATCTCTCTTCTTTCTAATGCTCTCTTTGCCGCTGACTGTTCTTCTCCCTCTCTACAAAGGTAAGCCATGATCTGTCCATCTCTTTCTAAAGGTCTAATGATCTCTGCAGCAGTTTGGTCTTGCTCAGTCTTAAGGGCTGGTCATCCCAGTCTCAGTAGGTGAGTAGGTAGTCGGTGCATGGTGTCATCTGGGCTCTGATGGGCAAATCTTTTGCTTTCTCTCCCGCACTACAGCAGATCTTGGGTGAACCTGTACTGTGTGCTGAATAAAGGTGAGCTGGGATTCTATAAGGATGCGAAGAACACCTCCACACCTTACAACAACGAGCCGGTTATCAACCTGAGCCGTTGTGCCTGTGATATCAACAATGGTTACAAAAAGAAGAAGAATGTCTTCACACTCAAGTACTTCATTAGCACTTTTACTAGCTTTTCCAAAAAGATTGATGACTTGTGTAGTGTTCTCTTTGCATAACATTAATTTTGCTTTATAATTTTAGAACTAACGATGGAAGTGAGTTTCTGTTCCATGCTAAAGATGAGGTGAGTTGCTTTTTTTATCCTAGTTTCCAAATAAATTTTTTTCAGTTCTGCACTAATTTTAGGCCGACTTTAATTCGGTAATACATTTTAGTCAAAACCAGGCCTAGATGAAATCTGCAGATATTTTCAGCAAAGCTGACTTAGCATACTGTAGAAGCTGGTTTATTGCTGTTTTATCCCTGTTGAAAAAACCAGGATATGCTGGTTAGGTATGTTTTGAAGAATGGCCGCTGGTTTGAGCTGGTTTAAGCTGGTCCTAGTTGGTCCTGAGCTGGTTATAAGCTGGTTATGAGCCAGTAGCCCCTCACTGCAGAACAAAGATCCACGGGGCGGGGTTGGATCCAAATCTAGGGGGTGGATATGGTAGGTTTAGGGGTGGAGATGGATGGGTTTAGGGATCAGGGGGTGGAGACGGGTAGGTTTAGGTATATGTAAGGTGGGAGGAGTTGGATCTGGATCCAACCTCGCTCCCTGGATCTTGTGTTCTGCAGTGAGGACCATCTCTTATGAGCTGGTTCATCAACTAGCTCCTGCTCAGGACCAGCTCATACCATCTAAGGACCAGCTTAAACCAGCTCAAACCAGCTGCCATGCTTCAAAACATACCTAAACCAGCATATGGGAAGTTGGTTTACCAGCTCAAACTTTGACCAAGCCAGTCCACCAGCTAGTAGTCCAGTCCCAGCAGGGACTACACACTTATTGACAGGAAAATTTATTGGCAGAAAGCATTAATCAAATTAATCTAAATATTTAATAAAGAAAAACGCAAGGGTTGGGGTACACTTATTGACAGGAAAATTTATTGGCAGAAAGCATTAATCAAATTAATCTAAATATTTAATAAAGAAAAACGCAAGAGTTGGGGAATGTGTAGAATGTGAATTTGTTTTGATTTTGCAAAAATCTCCAAAGCTTTCCATGGAGGTCTCTGCTGCAGATTCTGTTTGGGCCTGGTTATAACTCATTAAATTGATTCAGGTCAACTTTTTTGTGTGAAAATGAGTCTTCAATCTCTCTTTGGTCTGCAGGATGATCTAAAAAGCTGGATCACAAGTATAAACACCAGTATAAGTGAGCATGAAGAGACTGGCAAACAGGGGCAGACCAATCCAACTACCTCATCTACTGACGAGGGAACGCGCAGAGATGGCAGCAGGGCAGGCGGTTCGGAAAGAGGTGAAAAGTCAGACCGAGCCGACGGGGGATCTGTGCGCTCAGACAAGGGTGAAAAGCCTGAGAAAAAGACAGGCAAGAAGAAATGAGGCACACGATAGCAGTGAGACAGGAGCCGGGACTTCAGAAATCCAGGACAGTGCTCTGACGGAATCAGGAAACGAAGGCGTCACTGTGAACTCCCTTTATCTCTTGCTATCCAGTTGAGTGTGGAATCAGGCAACATGGAGAAGCAAGAAGGTCATGTGTCAGTGAGCGCCCTCTAGTGGCTGCCGAGGACCATGACAATTCAGGAGCTCCATATGGGCCAAAGAGCTGATAGCATAGGCAAATGGAGGATAAAAGAGAAAGATGTTATTTATAGTAAAGTAGCTCACGAAGATTATTTTCTAATCCGTCTATGAAAAAGATGACCCATATGTATGTGTACCCGTCTCTCTCTTTGTATATTGTACGTCTCAACATCAGTTCTATACAATCTCGCGCTGAAGAAAATGGAAATATGCCAAAATCTTTCTCGAGGTTAGTCTTTTTCTGAAGAGCATGATTTGTCTGTTTATTTTGTAAGTTGTTTTGCTCTTTTATACTGTTAACGTGTTGATTTGTATTCATTGGCTCTTACACACGATTTTGATTCTCGTCTTGCCACTTTGTAGACCACATGTTTGAATGGCATATGACATATCAGAGCATGCCTACAAGGTTTAACTTTCAAATGAAGAAATAAACTGTCTGTTTCAAATAAAGGGAAGCAGCTCACCTGCTGTGAGTGTGTATTGTCAGATTTGATTACTAGGGTTTGTTGGTTTCGTACATGAGTTTTCCCAATGTGCAGGAAAGTCTCAACCATTAATCTCATATTATGCATTAAATGTCGAGTGTGAGTTAATTTGCTCTTTTAATGACAGATTACCAAATCAGTTGTGTGTATGTGTCTATGCATGTATGCATTGCATTCGTCATCAAGCTATTCTGAACGTGAGATCGGGTTTACATCATTTTATTTATCCTCAAAAGTCTTCCAAGCACAGAACTGATTGTTTTGTAAAACTTTTGTTTTAGCCTTTTGTCACTTTCTCCCAACATTATTTCCAAACATTGCACTGAGGGCTGAATGGATGCAGGCGTTTGATTTAACTGGTAATGTGCGTTTGTAAGATGGCAGTTGGATGCCATGCAGATGTTATTATGTGATTGTTTCTCATGATTGGCAGAAACGGTGTTAAATACATCTTTGAATTGTGTAGTTCTGCAGGTGATAGTATAGAAAGCCCATAGCTAGCAAAAATGCAAGGTATATTGCAAGAAAAGCGGTACATGCTTTAGACAGCTCTGCAAATGATGACACAAATCCAATTTGGTTCTTTTGAGATCCATCCATAATATACTGTACATGCACACACTGCAGTTGAAAATGAGCTAACTACGTAATGACATGCGATTTTTCATGCAACATACAGGGTTGAAATGAAATGTCAAAGTGTGTGTGTTGAACGGAAACGTAATGGTTTCAGGTATTATATTTGTGCCTCATCGTCCCAAAGTCTGTCAGCTGTAGTCCTCCTTAACACGTCGTCTTTAAATGTAACTAAAAAAGAAAAGTCTTAATAATATTAGAAGCAATGGTCCTCTATCTGTAAAGAAAAATGTAAACCAGTCATTGAGAGGGAGGAGATGATGTTCATGTACATTTTTTTTCTCTGCAAGCTCATGATTGTTCCTTTATCTGAACAGAGCATCATGCAAATGCTTTTGTAATGTCCCTGTTTTTAAATATACAATTGTCAGCTCTTATTTCTCTATACACTCTCAAAGCATTGTATACAGTATATATCAAAAGAGCTTTCTGTGTCTGGGTCTGAATTTCTCTTCCTTTGATGCCCTTGGTTTTGTCTCCAAGTCTACTTTTTGGTACGAAAAATCGTATTTTTATGCAATAAAATAACTTATACAGACAGAGGGTATGCAGTAAAAGTATCCAAGGTGATGGTGAACGGAAAAAAAAAAATGTATACACTTGCAAGTAAAAATTTATGCAACTTTTCCTTTGCACTAAATTACTGCCCCATTGCACAGTGCTATTGTGAGCGGAGGATTGGTGCTTGAGGGTCTGGGACAAGTTGCTGCGTTTTGTGATCAGCTAGCAGTACTATAAAACAATGCATTCATTCAGCTAATTGTTTGAAGAAATCATGCAGAGAAAATTCTGCATGAAAACCCCCGGCTCACACTCTCATTCATACATCTGCATACACACATTTATACCTGCTGCTTCCATCACATACAAGTTAATGGACTTGAAACTGCTGAGGCGTACAATTTGTTGTAACTGGAAGCATTTGGAAACATTTATAAAATGTTATTAAATCCATGATGGATCTGATCCATTGGATCAACAGAAAGCACAACCCCAACAGTAAATACATATTGTTGTATGGTTTAATAGCCTTGTCTACTTCAGCTACTGCTCTAATGTTTTTCAAGGTTCTTGTGATATCTACTGTATAGTCTTAAAAGTTGTTCAATTACTTTTATATATACAGTATCACACGTTAAGCGGGATTTATGGCAGATTTATCTGCTTTAAATGTTTGGGTATGACTGAAACTCACTCCCCATGTCACGTCTATAGTGTCAGACCCTTAAGCACCACTGGTTTTAGCTCAGCAGCTCAATGCCCTGTACAAACTGTAATTGCTTCTGTACAAACAAAAATGCTCTCTTTTTTCTACTGTGAAATAAGAACATTTTTAATATCAGTTTTGAATATCCGTGGGGTTATTTCTCCAAAGCTCAAAGGAAAGGAATCGAAAGGAAAGTGGGCAATTCAGGTTGCATGAATAACATTGTCCCTGTAATGGTACTGCTGTGCATGATGAAACCACTCTCATTCTCACTCACAGCCACTGTTCAAGGGTGACACTAATACACATGGAATCAGTGAATGAATGAATGCTGTATAATTCAGATCCTGACTGACTCTGTACAGTTAATTCCTTGATAAATACAGCTTGTGATATGTCAAATGTCTCCTTTTTCATTTGTTCTGTAATTAGCACCTTCGTGTCCTAACTACATGGAGGCTACTGTGTGTGTAAATTATCTTTAATTTGTTAAACCATGTATAACTGTAAATCTGTTCTAGAAAACAGAACACGCGTGATGAGTTTTATGTCACATTTTTTCACATATTAGCACTCTGCACCAACATTGACTGCCTCGTATGTTTGTGTGATTTTTCTAGAAACATAAAGATCGACATTTCAAAGACTGTCAGACTTCCAACTCAAAGTACATCGTGATAATATAATAAAGGTAAATAATTGAAGATATACTCCAAAAATATTTTCACCTAATACGGTTTACCTTAGCAGTTATTTTCACACATAATCTCCTGAGTTTGATAAACAAGAATTTAAAATTCTTACATTTTAGACACAATATTCCCAGCTACATTGTCTATTTTTGCTCTGACAAAGATTATAACTAAGACAAGAATCAACCGTAGTGTCCCCAAACAACACAGGAGTGGCTGGCTTTGATCCTGAATGAAGCAGTGTTCTGAACGAATCTGTTGACTAATGATTCAGTTTCTGTCTCTCATTTTGAATATTATATTATATCATATCATATCCCTGGGACCCAGGCATAGACTTGTGTCCTCTGTAGAGGACATTATATTTTAGTGAATTTCTGTGAGAGCATAAATGCCACAGTTTTAGTCTGGATGTCCTGTTCAGAGCACATTCAGGGCTTTTCAGAGATATCAAATGTTTGGAGGTTTGATCATAAATACTCACTCTCCTTGGTCTTTCTTTAAATATGACTGATATTGACAGAATGATCAAATTTAGCACTCTTAGGGAAATATGATAATGTTTTGTAATTATCACTTAAATCTGGCGAATTTTGAAAATTGACATAAATAAACATCTCAGAAAAATGTTATGGGGTTTCGAATCGGAATATGACTTTTTGTAACAGGGCATAATTTTCATGCATGTCTTCTGTAGAGGACACCAGGACAAACATCATGTTAATCAGACATTTTGGGGAAACTCAACAAGTCAATAGGGAAATAAATGATAGATCAATATTCCTATGAAATATGAGATATTCTTATGAAAATGTTGCCAAGTTTTTACTCCCATTATTACACTTCTTTTTTCATTATGGTTTGCCCCAAGAACACATTCATATGCAAATTAGATGCAATGTGTAGATACGTTGTATAGATGGGGAATATCAATTTATGGACATTTTACACACATTTTGCATAAAGTAAAATAGTATATCAAATCATTCTGTTATATCTTTCATAACATAGTTGAGAATCATCTTTGTACAAAGTTTGGCTAAAAATAGCCTGAAACCTAAAAAGTGATTGGTGAATGAAAAAAATAAATAAATAAAAATAAAACATTGTTTTTGCCTACACATGCCTTTTCATGTCTATTTTTTTTTTTTAATAACTTAGTCCTGGCGTCCTCTACAAAGGACATAGAATACAATTTTTTTTTTTTTTTTTTTTAATTCTCCATTTGTTTCTTATGCTCCAACCAATGTAATGACATTTAAAAAAAAATCACAAAACTATTTTTTTTTTTCTGGTTCTCAGGAGGATGTTTTATTATTATCCTAAAGTTCGAAGACAGTCTGACTGCAGAGCGGCACTCTTGTAATTTTATTAGCGGTTGTTGCAATAAGTGACCGCTAGGTGGCAGGATTTCAAAGCGGAAGTGTGTCATATGAGCGGATGTGTGCGTGTTGTTACTGAGCAGTGATGATGACGTAGTAAGGAGGGAGAGCTGTCATATCAGTGGCATATGGAGTATCATCACTATAAAGTGTTTAAAACAGAAATGGGGTACTCAGACGCGTCCGGCGCGGTCTTCAGCTGATGATACGGAGAAAAGGCGCGTTCGAAGAGCAAACCAGCTGCTGAATCAGGGTTAGTCCTCATATTTCAAAATAAAATGCCGTATCTTACTTGGAGAAAGACTTCAAATTTATTTCCTACTCTTAGTCGTGTTTGGTCATCCCTACATTGAGGAAAAAGTACTTTTCATCGACACTGAAACTGATAACAATGGTTAAAAATGTTAGTTTGTTGCCTTTGCTATGTGCCTTAATGTTAATTTTGTTTTTATATTTTAACAAATCATAGAAATGAACAAAACTAAAAAGTCATGGAAATGTCTGCAGTGGCTGTAAGTTAGTTATGCTCAGATCTAGGCTGTTTTTGGCTCCAGTCACTTTTAACCAAGGCATAAATTATTTTTATTTCTGAATTTATGTGTTTATGATTTTGTCTAATACATTTAGCAAAAGTCAGAGAGAGATTCAAGGTTTAAAAATAAAATTATCATATTTTTTTAGAGAAGTCAAAGTTGCTTTGGGGGTCAGTTTGACCCCAGACATCACAGGAGGGTTAAATACATTTTTTAAAGTCTTCATTTTAAAAGCTACTACAGTCATGGTTCACATATGGCTGGACAGTGGACTGGTCAGAGGTGTGGGAAGCCTGGAAGTCTGTCTGCTTTCACATGAGGTTTACAGCTGAACATATTGAGGACATTTAAGTGAACACTGAGCATCTCCACAGCGAACGATAGAGCAATTTAGAAGGAAGAAAGGGGGATGAAAACATTGATTGTTTTCCGCTCTAGTGCCCCTCTCTAGTGAGCTGTCACATTTCTGTCTGTCATCATGTTGAAATGATGTGGGTCAGCGTGGCGCTCTTTACTGCTCATGTGCATCTACTGACCCATCACTAAAGCAGTGCTCCTGCTGCAGATCTATTGAGAGCATCTGTGACATACTGTACTAATGATAACCACAGAAAGAAGAACTTGTTTCTCAAGTTATAAACCGTGTTTATGTCAACAATGAAGTGGAGTATAAACATAATTATGTCATTAAAAGTTGATATAAAATGGCCTTACGTGGAATTTTAATGCTCAGTTTTTTTTTTTTTGAATGTGGATTATTATATCTAAAATAAATAGCAATTAGATTAGGACTCTGGTGTTAAATTTAACTTTTAATATTATAGTAATGTACCAACTGACAGGGTTCCCTGTATGGTTTGCAACTTAAGTTGATAAATGAACTTACTGTACCTGATATATATATATATATGTATATGTGCTGTCAAATGATTAATCTTGATTAATCGCATCCAAAATAAAAGTTTTTTGTTTACATAATATATGTGTGTATACTGTGTATGTTTATTATGTATATATAAATACAAACCATGCATGTATATATTTAAGAAAAATATGTTACGTTTATATATTAAATATATTTTTATATAATATAAAATATAAGAATATAAATATATATACATGCAAATATTTTCAAAATATATATACTGTATGTGTGTGTATTTATATATACATAATAAATATACACAGTACACATACATATATTATGTAAACAAAAAACTTTTATTTTGGATGCGATTAATCGTTTGACAGCACTAATATATATATACAAACAAATCATTATCAAATCGAATCGGAAACGATTGAAGCTTGTTCATTTAGAATCAAATCGATTTCTGACATCTGTGTCAATACCCATAATCCTTAGTATAAAACACATTCCTATATAAAGTAATGGAGTATATTTAATATTTGTATTGATAAAAATTTAACATTTGTTATCATTATAAATACTTAAAGGGGTCATATGATGTTGCTAAAAAGAACATTATTTGGTGTATTTGGTGTAATGAAATGTGTTTATGCAGTTTAAGG